ATTACATTATTAATTATTTCCACAAAATGAAACCACCCCCAAAAAGTTTTTCCGAAGTCTGATAGCAGCCATTTTTTAAGTGGCAACCCTCAACTTTCTCGGGCACTTAGGACCATTTTTCAATCGTAGCTTTTAGCCCTTCTGCTCTCATATGAAAGCTCAAGGACCCAGGGAGTTGATCCTGGCAACGATTTACACGATCTCACCATTTTGGGGGCCAAACAATCTCCTTTTTCAAAAGATACTGGGGGGGGCACTTTTAATGCTAATTAGCTGGTCAGAAATTCTCACCTGTATTAGTGGTCTGCACCCATAATCTGTGCTTCTGGGGAGGTTGGTTCCACCAACCCTGATCCAGATCTCGATTGTAGCTTCGTGTTCAGTCTTGAAGAAATGAGTTGATAGAAGCAAACGATTTCTCAGTCTTCCAAACAGCATCCCGGATGTGTTCTCAGGAAAATTGATTTGTGTGAAAATTGGGCACAAAGTAAGGTGAAAAATGATGAAAATTTACCCCAATGGAAAACGAAGTAAACTTTAAAGAAAACCTTTTCTTCCTAGAAGTGATTAAACTCTTTTTTATCAGAAAAATTATTAGTCGTTAATGTGATATCAAGTTTATTCGAAGGTGAACCCGGCAAAATATTGTGAAATTTAGGTAGGTAAAACAGTTAGGTGAAAAATAGTTAATTTTTTCACAATTATCCTTTGTCGTAAAATTTACACTTTCCACTTCCTTGATTCTTTTTTGGAGATGCTTTTTATAGCTAATATATAAATATCACCATTTGATAGATTCTTTTCAATTTATTCATTCATGCGTCGTCTGCTAGAGTATGAATGGCCGCGTCCGAATCATTTCTTCACAACCTCGTTCCTCGAACGTGAATAAAATATTTTCTCATGCACCTAACTGTATCCAGCAAGAAATGAGACCGAGGGTCCCCCTAGATGTCTAAAAAGGAATTCCTCAGATTCCAGTGAGACAATGACCAACTGCGATTGACATGTATCAATCTCACTACAATACAGCCGGTATAGAGGGATCCCAATACGACGCTTTCAGCGTCGATCTGCGCACTTCCGCGTTTGAAAACGAGGCTGTATGTGTCAGCTTCAATTCTTAATACGATCAGATGATTGAAAGTAAGGAGTCAAGCCAAAATATACATAAAGGTATGTTAAATTCAGACTTTTCAGGCAGCAAATTTTTGTGGAAAATTCTTTCAGAATGACTCGACACTTGAAATCAAAAGAAAAAAATAACAATTGACCGCAAACTTACGTACCTGCGATGGCCGTGTAGCTTGTGCGGTGGGCGTGGTTTAAACTGAAGTGGTATCACACTTACGAGCCGGATAGTGCATGTACTGTGTCGACTCCGCGGGCGCGCGCGCGCGACGAAGTTCAACACATATATTAAGCCTTGGCTTCGATGCGGATATGCGCAGACGCCGCGAATGTGAAATCCATCTATAGTTGAATTTAAAAAAGTGTACCTGCAATAAGTAAGTTGCTGGCTTGGTGGGATTTCTCCCGTACGCTTGTGTGTCAAATCAGTAAGAGGTCGTCTACGCTGCTATTGCATGCTTGAGTGCACAAAGAGAAAACACACTCCGCTCTGCTCCCCCCCCCAAAAAAAATTCATTGACAAGTATTCACTAACTCGTTCCTCGAACGTGAATAAAATATTTCCTCATGCACCGAACTACTTATAGAATACACCTGCAGGTTTATTCTATAAGTAGAATCATGAGGTCAAGCTCGGAGTGGATACTAGTCCCCTCCCCATTAGGAAATAAAAAAACGGGCCAGTTAAACACGTAAAGGAGATGTTAAGACCAAGGAGATAATAGTTGATTTTCGTCGGATTTTTTTTTACTCTTTAGAAGTCGAAAGAGTCAATGTTTTAAGTTCCTGGGCATTCACCTCGCGAGCGACCTGGCATGGTCGGCACAAGTAAACCACTGCATGAAAAAGGGCCAGCAGCGGCTCCTCTTCCTACGTCGGTTGAAGAGCTTTGGTTTGGACAGCGTGTGCTGGTTGATTTTTACGGGTCGGTGGTGGAGAGCATTCTTACGCACTCCATCACGGTCTGGTATGATGGAACCACGGTGGCCCATCGGACACTCTTACAGCGGGTTGTGAAGACGGCGTCCAGGATTGTCGGTCAGCCACTGCCGTCAGTGGATGATATCTATGTGACGATGCAACGGAAGAGGGCTGTGGCAATTGCAATGGACAAGTCGCACCCGGGCAATGCTCTGTTCCAATTGCTCCCTTCTGGAAGACGGTACAGAGCTGTAGCTGCCAAAACTAAAAGAGCGATCGATGGTTTTTATCCTAGTGCTGTGCGGGAGCTGAACAACTCATTGTAGTTACATGTATTGTGGTGTTTTAATGTTTAATGTTATTCTTTATGTATTTTTGCTATGTATTTTTAATGTTGTATTGTTGGTTTTTTTTAACAGAGCAAGGACTACATAACTTCCACCATGTATATTACTTTATTTGAGTGGCGAATAAGCTATGTAATGAATTTGCACAAGTTTAATTCTTTCTTCTTTCTTAACGTAGTATAAAACCAAGTACAAACTTATAACAAAACAATCGCCTGACCATAATTAAAAGCCCAAGTTAGTTGACACTTTCAACCTACTTTCGTCTGAGTCTTCAATATATGAGCCCTTGAGATATATATGCAACCCTACGTATGAAGCCTAGCTTGAGTCCTTGGCAGTCTCTGACTGCCAACGCCCAAACTTCTTAAACAGACGGTCAGGAACCCGTGAATAGCGACTGCAGAGGCACCGCCCGCTCTTGAGCTATGCCTTTCAAAACGCTTTGGATCTAAACCAACCGAACTAAGAACATTCTTCAGCAGCTCCAGACACCTAGAATACGACAGCTGACCATGTCTCAATACATGCTTATTCTGTGACTTAAAAGAAACAGAAACGGTCGGAATAAAAAACCCATCGTTCATATCGTTCCTGAATTCAGCCAATTCAAAATACCTACGTAGCATGTTGAAGGGACATGTTGGGTTGTAAGTAGCGCCAATGAGGACCCACGCACCTTGTCTGAGCACATCAGTTTTACTCTTACATATAAAAAATGTTAACTTGGGAGGGGTACATTTTTACGTCACATCGACGGATGTTAATAATTTCTTCGTGTCTGAGAAAACCGACAAATGAAATAAGCACCACAGTCTGATATCTGAGAGATTATTAGAAAAACCATATTTAGTAACAATATCGGTTAAGAATCTTTGAGAATATCCGGCGTAGTAGGACCCTTCTTTGTTATGGGGCGGGCAAGAAGCTTTTGAGGCCAAGAACAACACTACCGGTACGTAAGAAAGAACTTTCACACAGATTTGGAACATCACGAATACAATCATGGCTCCATTTTATGGAGCCATGCCGGAAAAGGGTGCGTCCGATAAGAAACCGACTGATGGAATTTGATGAAACTGGAAGATACAAAAACATTATGTGCATCGCACCATTTCTGCGGCGCGGCATTCAGAACAATGCCATGCAGCGGAGGGACGTGCTACGTGGCAAATACAACTGTCACGCAAGAGATCATGTCAAAATATGCCATGCAGCAACAAGTACATAACAGACATTTGGATTTTGAAATAAACAAGCATTCACCTTGAAGGATTTACTAAAGGCCAAGTGGAAAACTTCACTGTGGAAAATTATTCTGAAAAGTTAACTACTGTACATGTAGGGGGAAGGGGTCAGTTTTAATGAGCTCCCAATAGTCTGATGCACATGAATTCACGTGTGCCAAACACAGAATTATCACGTCGACCTTGCACGAAATTATTATTGTCATTAATTATTAATATTTGTTCGGCATTCACCAGAAATACACAATAAAAAGACAGGACATATATAAATCAACACAAGTAAAAACAAAGGACTATACAAAGTAAGCCATCAGCAAATATCCAGGAAAAGAAAAAGCTAACTACATAACTGTGACCTAGAGTCCTTCCTTTTCAATACTGTTGACTTTACAAAAATGTTACAGACATTTAGATCAGCAATAAAAAACGTCTATACATAAAAGGACCATACCAATAAATAAAAATAATAAAAACTAGCAAAGTTAATTGATAAATTAAAATATTTCGCAACAAAAAACAAGATTCACTTATACATTGGTACATGCTGCTAATTTAAGTCATCACAAAACAGATGTGATATTAAAGTATTAATCCAGCCATGGATTGACAACGTCACATTTCAGAGATTAAGGGAGTTCCAACATTAAATTGAAAGGTGATGAAGCTTACGTGAATGTGCACGGAGCATAAATAGACATGTAGATCAGCTATTAAAACACGTACAAGCGAACCATACCAGTAGATAAATACAATTATAATTAACGAAGATGATTATTTCATTGGTCCAGATAAGAACTTGAAGAGAGCCCTCTATAGTTTCCAAGAAAAACAGCCACACCACGCTCGTCAGACATGCATGTAATTTGTTTATATTTTCTGTCAGAAAGTTTTGTCCAAAATGTGACCAGTTTTTAGAGTTTAAACAGACAGATTTCACCAGACCCACGTTATATAGACACTTAGAGGAATTTTGCTAAAGAAAAGTAGGTTTGCATTTAGTAGTTGATTGGAGGAATTTCTTGAGAATTTAAAGAAGAAAATATTGCATGATACTAAATATTAGATCGAGTCAGTTTGTAGTGCTTGTAATGTACCTTGAAACAAACTCACAGAGGATTGAATAAGTAGATTTTTTAATCTATTAGCATTAGTTGTTTAATGAAGTTACTAGACCCGGTCCATTTTTCAAGTTTAGCATAATTTCCATGCAGGCAGTATTAATTTTGTCAAGAATTAATCACATTTGAAGGACTGATGAGCATGTTAGTTTTACAAGCCATCGAGAAAAGAGTCAATGTATGCAAGCTAGTTACGATTTTGCTAAATATAATTTGCAGCTTTTAAACCCTGTTTGGAAATGTAGTTATTTTGCAAACACTTGATAGTTATTAGTTAATTGTAGTACCGGTACTTTTCACATCGAATAAACTCGGCTGAATAAGCCATATACGATATGCAACACTTCTCTGAGTCCGAGCTACTGCACTTCTCAAGATCTAATGATTAAAAAATAGTTATGATTAATTGCTACATTCACTTGTACATTGCTACAGCTACTATTATAAGTCAACCAAAAACAAGTGCGACCTTAGAGAATTAATCCAGGTATGGAGAGGTTGATTTACCTACCTCATGCCCTTCATCTACCCATCCATTATCGAGAAATACAACAATGAAGATTCTCTTGTATCTTCAGTGCTGTAAGAGATTTTTCAGACATTCAGTAAACACTAATGACCGCAGACAGCCCAAAAGATAATGCTGCAAATGAGAAGAATTTAACTGAACAACCCATTTTCCAAGAAAAACTCAAGAATTTTGTATGATCAGGAAAGAAGTCAGTATGGCGGTACCCGGATTTAAGGTCAAAGAAAACATGAAATCCCCTTTTGCAAATATGCAACAGCTTCGTTCCAATCTTCGAATTTAACTTTTCTTTCCAAAGGAATTTACTGACGTATCTAAGATCCAAAATTAAACGCTTCTTGCCAGAACTATTGACGGAAACAGATAAGGAATTGACAATATCGGGTTGATTGCTGCTCTCAAAATTAATTCCTTGGCTAACAACTCAGCAATAGCTTTTTAATGAGTGCTGATTTGTTATTCTGCATGTACCTAGGTGAAGTCACTTCTATGAGGGGAAGTTTGTGCCCATGCTGAATGATGTCCAAAATATAAGGACATGCGTTAGTGGACTCCAAAATGATTAGGTCTGTCTTAATCTACCTTTAACAAGTGCAAGTGGTAGCGCTAAGCCTTGCTCATACTCAAAATAATCGCTTGTTTATGCTTAGTTCGTACCCGTTATCAATGGTAAAATGGTCTTGCATGTTTTCAATATGTCTTGATACCTCAGTGGATCACTGCAGACTATTGTTGACCTGTTGTCTTTACAGGGAAGGCGCTGGTCTACCGCATGCGAAACAGAGATGGGTGGGCTTTGCAAATTGTTTGTCATGGCTGAACTGCGAGTCGACAGCGTTGATGCCCAGGCGCGCATCTATTCGCTGAGAGACAGCCACGAAAAAGATCAATTCCAGAGCTAGGGGCAGGTTGATCATCTTGCCTTGATGTGGTAGCGCGCAATCTTTTGGCTGCTTGATTCCGTTGTATCTTCTCTTGTCTCTTCTTGGAGGAAGCTCGGGCTTGTGCTTTGCTTATGCGCTTTTCATCTTCGGAATCAATGGCAAGCTCGTCACTGACATATCCATCAACTGCCTTACACCCTGCATCAGATTTGTCAGCTAAACGAATCAGCTTTTTTCGCTTGTTCAGTTGGGTTATGGCCTCTTTAACCAGCGGTATGGCGAATTCCTCGTTCTGCTCATTCAGATGCGACTCGATCTTTTCCAGTTTCTGCAAGATCGATGTGTTAAAGTTGTACTGTTTCTTAGTGCCCTAGCAGCTGCGTGGCTGGGAGGGGCGTGGGACGTGAGGGGAGGGGTGCACGCCCCCATGAAAAAACGTCTCCCCCAGTCGCCCCCCACTTGCATATCCTGATGTGATCACGATTATGCACATGTATATGTACAACATCCAGTCAGCGCCCCCTTTAGCATGAAGCCCCCGCTTGCCCCCCCCCCCCATCTTTAGCTACACCGCTGTGCCTTTGAAGCGGAAAGAAACGTCGGCGTCCTGTTTTACTGGGGAGGTGTAGGCAAGCATGCAATGCGCTCATTCTCTTGCACAAGGGACTGTTGAGAGTTATTAAAATAGTGTGTTAAGTCTCCTAACGCTTCCTTGATAGTTAGGCCAACAATTTGGCCCCTTTGACTTTCCTGTCTGTGCCACCTTGCCATAGGCCGGGCCATGCTGTTCACCAAATCACTCACATCGTGAATTAAAATCTCATTGAGGGCTTACATGCAGTTTGAAAATGTGTGCTTATGTCATTCCTTGAAAATCCAACCAGAAGCCACGAGTACACCACTCGCCACACATTGCTACACAACATAGACGTGTGTACCTTTTTTTAGTTGAGTCACGAACACGAAACAATCCCTGTCTCCGATTCAAAATATTTGCAAAGTTGGAATTGGTTCGGTCTCTAGAATTACATTATACTCGTAATTCCCTCACCAACCTTATCCTACTGGGGCACTTTGAAGTGATAAATGCAGAGTTGAGCAGTATGAGCACACAGTTTTGACGTTTAGCAATACGCGGGTGAACACTTGCGATGCACGGCCACGGGCTTCAGAACTAAGGTGCTACCTCCATGGGTTAGGTCTGTTGTCTGTACGTCTCCACGTATTTCCAACAAAAAAAAAACCTAGACCTAGCTCTTGACAACAGATTCGGATGCAGCCTTAGAAAATTAATCTTTTGCAAGACATGCTTGCTTTACGCCTCCAAAACTGTGACGTATTTCCTTTCACAAAACTAACTTTGTTTCACAACTTGCTATGAGGGATGAAGAGCTCTGAGTCCAAAAACCAAGTTATCATTTATATCAAAGGGGATTTGTGCGATATGAGAGATGATACCAGTAGGATTAGGAAATTTAGAGAAATACATTTTACAGAAATCTGATCATATACCTTAAATTTGGCCATTTAAATTAATTTCCAACATTCACCCGCTAACAGTGTTTGTAGCGCTGTCTATTTTTATTCCTTGTTACACATGTACTGTGATGGTATTATTTCTTTAAAAACATAAACTCCCAGGAAATTGAGAATGTTGTACGCATTATTTTTCGGTCGTCAGCAACCACGCACATTTGACGAAATTTATTCGTAGCATATTTAGATCATGGAGAAAGGAAAAGATCTGGTACGAGGAAAAACGTAATCGTTGTAGCACCTGCTCAGCTAGTAGTTGTTCAAACATCCCGAACCAGGGGTCGGATGTTATGCTCATTTGTGGAATTTGTTCAAATAGTTAGAAGTTGGTATCGCAATGGAAATAAGTTTTTACAAGTGTTTTACGTCACCCCTGCTCTTCCCAGAAATTTTTTATTTTGTATTGTGTAGCTAAATATGGTCTTGGTATTTTAATTTTATGCATAGTTGTTTTTCTTTATTTAATCTACTTATTATTGTACATATATTTATTCTATTATTAGTATTTTATTGTGTGTGACGAACAGTTCTTGCCGCTGTAACCATAATTACAAATTGAATGCTTTTTCGGTGAAGCGCTGGATTTTTTCAGGCAGATGAAAACTGACGCTTTGAGATGTGAGAGCAGAATTGGAAATTTTCTTATCAGAATAAATCATGTGAAATAATCTGACCTCATGCCAAGAACTCAGCTCCGGATGAACGGACGGATGCACGCAGCGGATGCAAGTTCAGGCTAGATAGAATAAGCAGATAGAGTACGTACGTACCAACCAGTGAGTGGTAGGAAGTGTGGTCAGCTGGTGTCGGATGGCACAACTGAGTATATACGCGCACATATGTACACGCTCGGGAAATGTGTGGGCTGTTTGGTCGGCGATTACACACATATGGTTAACTTAACAAAGATATATCGAAAGTGTTTTTCTTACACAGTTCGGCCGCAGTGACGTGATACTTTAATCTCCGCCAGTTTAAGTCGTCACGAGAACTCTGTGGATGGAAGGTGCCAGGGCATGAACGTAAGAGATTATACAATCTGCCCAATTTAAGGTTTTTCAGCTTCACTTGGTGAGTGTTTGGACAGTGACCGTAGAAGTGGTAAAACAAACACCAAACTCCCCAACAACACAATGCCAGCAATGGTTGCTATACCGCCAGAGAAACCACCACTTCAGAAGAAAATGGACTCAGCTGTTCTTTATATGGCAGATGTCACAGACCAACAGGTATGGCTGAATTCATGTGGAGTCAAAATAGCAAAAAGTTGTTTTTGAAGAAGCTCTAATTTCAGAATTAAATAGCTCGTACCTAGCTTCATTTTCGTTGGTTGTTTGGAGAGGAGTGATAGTGACTCTTTTGTTGGATTATTACTAAAGTCATAAAATTTCATGTTACAGAATGAAATGAGATTTGAAGTTCGTTATCACCGTTATATTTTTATGATTTCTGACATAAATGGAATACATGTATGACTCTGAAATGTCGTTGTTCTTACCATTCTTGTCTTAGGTTGAAAACAATTACAGTCGTTGGCAAGTCAAACGGGCCAAGATTTGCGCATGTACTGTTGTCCTGACGACGCTGATCCTAGTGGCCGGCACGCTGGGTGCTATTACTATCGTGCTGCAGGCGCAACAACACAGTACTGATAAAGCAGCCCTTACCCATGCAGTCCCCAAGGAGCCGCTACACAGTGGTCCTAACTCCCCTCAGAGAGGGCCCTACCCCAACCCACCGATTAAGATCGACAACGGTGGACTCTGGCCGGCTCCCAAGAACCCCGTGACTCAGACTCCTGACCTGGTGGCTGTGGACGGCGAGGGAACGGTCCTCATGTCGTTGTCCCCAAAACCAGACAGAGATGGGACCATCAGCGACTCCTTGCCAGACGAGTATCCAGTATTAATATCCGATTCATCACACTTTTCCTCCTCTGATCCAATACCGTATCATGAGCGATCCTATGTGCGGAGGACCTATATTAGTTCCTCCTTCCCCTACGACGGTTACTACGCTCGAGGTGGTGTTGGCGTTCCCTCTCCTTCAATTTCAGGTGACAGTGATCTGGAGGGTTCTGCTAAATCTGCCGCCTACGAAATAAACGACATTCCTGTGGGGTCCCATAACAGTTTGCAGCAAGACATTAACATTGACTCTGGTCCGGGACCTGACGTCTTCAGTGTCAGTGACGATTATAGTGAGAGCTATCCATATATACGAATCTGAATATTAAACTTAATGTATTGTCTCTATGGCTGATTCACCCATCTTGTTTTGTTCATCAAAACATCGAATCTTGTCTCAGTATTTTCTCATTGCATGGAAATGAGGGTATTCTAGTTCTGGTCCTTGATCATGTCTTGCTACCAATGCGCTTTTAGTGGTTCAGAGAGCCGTTTTCAGAGAGTTTCTGGCCGATCGAGGATTCGCTGTACAAATTGACGCCACATAGTTCGCCAATCTGTTGCCATTTTTTCTCCAGTTGTCAAAGGTTGTCTTTTGCTTTGTAACAATATCATGCACTTGAGATATAAATTACATTTATTGACACGTTCTCTGTTTACATTTAATGTAGAATATTACACTAATCATTTTATATGGGATTGATACAGTTAAATGACGTCCGTGGATGAGATAAAAATGACTAACTTTCTTACAGGCACTGACTCATTTCTCTTTTCACCATTATTAGAAGTTTTAAACAACGGTCTTATATGATGGCACTAAAATCGCATAAGTCCATTCTCTTGATTTCAAACAAATCCTACACGCATCGCTTTTTGGAAATTTTGTGAGTTTCAAACCCTTTCACGATTCACATTCTTCGCACTTTTATGGCGCTGAAATGTAAACAAAATGTGGTCACAATGCTTCAATTGATTAAGAACTACACACTCTACAGTAAACATTTTTCTTGAAATTTTCTACTCATCTGTATGCGACTTCCGTTTTGGCAATGCTTCTCATCTGCGAGTGTACTCTTCTAATAAAGAGAAATAAGAAAACGAAACTGTCTTACAATAAAGCTCGTAAACGTGTATAATCATCCAGCTGTGTAGTCTAGTGACGTAATAATGACATAGAAGTGATAACCTTCGTTAATGGCTAGGTTGTTGTTTGTGCGTGTTCTGATGAATGGCCTACATGTACAGGGTCAGAGGTTGTACACCATAGCGTCACTCTTACTCTATGTTGCCCAGTTACAGTGACCTGAGTTCGCCATGTGGAATGTCAGGAATGCGCTTGATAAGGTCAAGTTGTTCCACCTTGCTGAATGGAGTGTTCAGCCTCGGAGAACCCTTATCGGAACACATAATCTGTGCTCCTGCAACGTTTGTTCCGCATACCTGACCCTGATCCCGGTTGTGGCTTCGTGTTGAAGTAGCTCTATGGTTGAATTGTCATTTTCGGGACCATAGTATTGATTACGCGACGTTCAATACAATTCTGTCTCTAGTCTCATTTGAAAGCTCTATGTGCAAACGTCCTTTTCACATTTGCATGCGAAACTGCATCAGTCAAACTTTTCCACCACGTGGGACCCATGGTACATCTATGGTTGCAGGCCAGTATTAAAATAGGTATTGCCTGCGCGGACCAGATCACGATTTGTAGGCTGTCAAATTCCCAGCTATTAGAGCCTTTCCTGGCACTTAGACTGGGCGGTTTGTTAAAAAGGTGGATAAAATGCAGGGGCAGGACTGTCAGCTTGTATTTCTGAAAGTATCGGACCAAACGGGGCCCTCCAAATTGCTCTATTTGTCATGGAGTGCAGGCATCGATTTCCAAAACGGCGATGGGCCTCCTGACTGATTTTAGTGGAGATTTCTCTGGAAAAAAATATCTTCAAAAGTCATCGGTTAAGCCACTGAAAATTGAAAGGAAAATGAAAGATGAGGAAGTGAACTTTAATTTGTCTTGAACACCTGTGAAACTTGTGAGTATTTTTCCTGATTTGTTGAAGTGGAGATATTTATCACTGTTGCCTATGGCAATTGATTCTGCACCTACTGGTGCCCGGTCCATCTTCCTGCGGTTGCCGGCGGAATTGGCGACGCACACTGATCTCTACTATACTGACAGTATAGCAGAGATCAGTGGCGGCGCACCCGCGAATGATTTGACCCGCGCCATGTTGGGAGCGGCATCCTGGCCTCGCGGGCGCGTTTTGTGCGGGGCGATTGGCCGGGGTACTGGCGCGTGGAAAGTTTTGACCGCCGCCATGTTGCAATGAGTTTTGCCCCGTCAAACCGTGCCTGTGTCGCATTTGTCCATTGGTCGTTCCTGTGGCCGAAGAGAACGGTCTTTGCTATTGGGCGTTTGTGCGGTGGTCCCGGTACGGATCTTCCTGCAATGGAGCCGAGTACCGGCGGCGCGCTCCTACCTAATTGGTCCAGAGCGGTGTGCGTTGATTCCCCAACTGTTCTCTGTTTTCGCTTGGTGGTGGTGACGTAGTACCGCTTTCCAGCTTGATTGGTCTTCGGGAATTTGCTGAACGTTCACGATACGCGATCTTCCTGTTTGATTGGTCAACAGGGATTGTAACGAACATTTGCGACCAATTCCCTGGTGTTCGAGTCCTGCATTTTTTATTCATGCTTTTTCGTGCAAGCCCGTGACCCTTACCGTGGTTGGCATGAATGGTGAATATCCATGTCCACACCAAAGTGCCTACGCTGTATGCAAACGATCTCCCGTTATCACTTCGCTGACAGCGTGCCACTGCCAATCCCATCGTCTACAAATCATTGTCACCAAAGACCTGAAGAAGAAACTCTCAAGTTCTATGCTGTCACAGTGCCTGAGTACACTAACGCGATACGACAATCCCAAACGTGCATATTCATTTTAACCCTGATTTTTTCGAGGAGGATGCATTCATGGGATCATTCTGAAGCAACGTCCAGCGAATATCGAGACTGAATGACAAACAATTCGATGTAACAAACGTAGAGCCTACAAATTAGGGCCCCGCTTTATAGGCCTGACCACATACAAGTATCGGCCAGGCCACAATTTTACTTGGCCCGCATGAAAATAAAACTAATGAATATTATTAAATCCCGGACGATGAATGGTAGGGAGAGCATTCAGTTTAAATTATATGATACAGCTAAAAATACAAGATAAAGAACTTATTTCTTGAGTATTTATTTCATCTTTTCACGCGTAAGGCAAACCTAATTTGAGAAATGTATTCAGCCCCATTTAAGTACTGTTATTAGCAGAAATGATGATATTGAAAACCAATAAGAATGATATTCCCTGAAAGCAATGAACGGGATTAAAAAACAAACACCTTCACAGTACATTCCTGGATAGGAGACACATTTGCACTCTACCCCGTGGTATCACATACATCACTACGCCAAGCCATTTAGGGGACCGGGAGAGTGGCTTTGCACTTGAACTTGACTTACTCTTCAATGAAGTACTTCTTTTGGCGTCGGCGCGCACCATGGCCGCGGCCATGGTGAATAGTTTCTGATCGGTTACAACATCTCTCTATTGGCCTTTTGAATATGCATGTCTTTATAAATTCACAAATCTTCCAGGCAAAAACTTCATGATTTGTTTTGTTGTCCCAGATTTCTATGGCAATCTGTTTTCAAGTGTGTGGTTCCATTGAGTTTAGAGTTCACATGACATCTCTGCCCAGGTATCACTCTCACGATTTCACTACCAAAACATCAATACAGCGGAATTCCTTAAGCATAGATAAATCCTCCATTATTTATTTGCTAAACAAAGCCACAATAGTCACATCGACATGTATAAAGGTCTTCATAACAATTAGTTAATTCATACTAAAAGTACCTCAACAAATCAATTTTAATTGGAAAAACTCAAATGTCCACAGCAGTGACAAGGTAAATTTAAAAACTTCAACGGTTGCTTCCGACAGAATTAAGGTTGAGATTTGTGGGCATCATTAGGCTGTCATCTACAAAGTGTGTTCCCCCGCATACTTTTCCACAAATTCCTCATTTAAACACGGGCCGGGCAAGACGTCCTCCGGCACACTGCCGACTATTACACCTTTTTAAAACCGCACAACACTGTTGGTAAATGTAATAAAAAAATTCAGATGATGTGCCAGCTGCCGCTTAAAACGATTGTTATAAATGTACACTCGAGCCCACTGTAAGATCAGTTTTATGTCTTGGATATCAAGCGTATTTTCGTCTTTTAATTTGTGTACGTTTTTGCTGGATAATCTTTTGTATTGCCCATATGTATTTTGTCTATTCTTCATTATGCCAATAGAATAATTTCTGTGTTTTATGATGCGGGCAGTACATTTCTAATCTAATCCAATTATGTCAGTCAAACTACACTGGTGTGGACTTTTGTGCCAATGTCTCACTTTGACGGTTGAAAAGGGGAACAAAACGGTGCGTTCCACTTACATTAGCCTCGATACATCGTTCCTATCCTTAGAACGCTGAGTAGAACGTTCAACCCAGCGGACTTTACTCCCATTAAACTCGAATGGCTAATAACTGAAATATTCCCAAAAGAAGGCACGAGTTGACATGGTGTCTGCTTCCTATTTTTTTACACTTCACTGGGCAACTTCCTGCACGAAGTTGGTCTCTTCAGCATCATCAGTCTGAAACTTGTCCAAATCCAGAGACTGTGGTGTAGTTGGAAAAATATTATTTCTTACTTCCATTTACTTTGTTGCTACCCGCTAGTACATTGTTTAGCACAGTTCAAAAATATGTCGCCATACATCACGGTATGAGCGCGTTTACTGGCTCAATCAGGGTCATGCATGAAAACGGGAAGGTTCAGTCTCTGTTTATTGTCGCCCAAACATCCTGTTCTGTTTCATCCTGTATGTAGAGGCTGAAAGTGAAGTAACCTCCACAACTTGCCAAGCAGGTGAATATCAAATGAAAAGGATATCAGCCTTTACCAAGAACATGAAAGGCCTTTGTAAGCTACCATATTAATTTATAGAAACTGAAAAATTACTTGACTTTAAGAGAAGTATCCTGCCAAACTGACCTCTCACTTCCAAAAATCTTAGATACATGAAGACCAGTGCAATTCAGTGATCCAAAGTATTACTTGAGGAATAGAAAGGGCGAAATTCTGACATGAATGTTCAAGTTAGGAATCATTCTTCCAAAAAATGCAATAGGGCACTCAGCCCCACGTAAACTCTCCACAGGCGGACTGCGCGAGGGTTCCAGAAGCTCTGCTCAACACTTAGCATATATTGTCATTGTTTTCTAGAAAATCAGAAACTAGCCTTCACAACATTAGGCTTTTATCCATTACTAGCTTTCCAGTAGCAAAGTATCCGGGCGTAGAGAGGGATTTAATCACTTACCCCTGGTAAAGTGTCGTTCTTCTTCAACAGTACCCTTTTTTACCCAATTGTGCATATTTTGTAGTAGTAGCAGATGTTTCCCCCTGTTTCACGAGTGCACTTTTTACACCGATCGCACTTACCAACGAGCACTGTTTACCTACATGCAGCTAAGCGAGGCTGTTGAGTGCCTATCTTGACAATCCTCCCCAATGTCTGTGCTTGGCTACATAGCTTTCGAGTACTTTTGTTATCATTGTTATTTGATGGTTCCTAAATGAAAAAAAAACACATCAAGACTAAGAGCATAATTAGTGATGCACAAAATCTCATATCTATTGCGATGCCCTACGTTGTATGGAAATACTGGAATTTATGGGTCGCACACTCGGTCTAAATTTGACCAAAGATAAAAACATGCCCTGTTTACACGCACGGTCTCTGTACATGTGGCAAATTCTGTAATGGTACCGCACACGATTCAGTGTGTGACCCGCGTTTGATCCCAGGCCATAGTGAGGGAGAAGTCATGAACATTCTCGTCGTACGTGCGGGAAGGCTGACGATATTTCTATATTTGTAGTGTATTTTTCGGAAGTTTCTTGTCAGAGTACGTAATGCTAAAAAGTGTATTTTAAGAAGCTTACGTAATGAGAGAAATCTCTGGAAGAATTGTAGACTATAGAAATCGGGAAAACAGCGAGAGAGATACACACACCGCAAGCGAGATTTTGGAAGACAACTCTACCGCACGCGGGCTGTGAGAACTTGAAGTCTTTGACTTGTTGACTTCTGCACCATTTTAACCTGTGGTGGCAGGTCGTCTGTAGAGCGACACTCGTTAGAACAGTTCTTCAAAATGAATGATGAGGGCGCTGTAGTAGGTTGCCAGTTTTCGTTTCTAGTTCTGGTGCTGGTGAGTTTTTAATCGCTAAAATACCCGCATTCTGGTGACCCATCCTTCATCCAAATGACTTTATGTGTGCTATTGAATTCTTGCTGAGCTGTGTTATGTGTTTTTTATCTGCTTTTGATGTTAAATTGTGCAACTTAACTTTTCTGGCTTGACTTTTGCCAATAACCAAGGCTATTAATCACTGGGTAGCCTACTGTTGTCAATAACTTCAAGCAGTTACTACAAAATATTTGGCATGTCTGCAGCCGGCAAATACATTCCTGAGTGGTGCTAAACATTGGAGACTAGCAATGTGGAACATTGTTACTCTCAATGTTGAGTGCGTGGGACTTTTCATTGGCACACAGGCCTTACCACAAAACCAGACAGTTATGGCAGTAGCCCCAGTCACAGGGAAACTCTCTGCGTAAGTCGACACCATTTCACTGTGCTTTAAAGTGCACGTACCGTATGAAGTCTAGATTGAGCACTAAACCGCTGACATATATACTACCACAACTGTTGTGCCTCTTTCCATTTGGCGCACAACGTTGTACTGGCAGAAGACATCGAATTGAATTCTGGTCCTGAAAAGTATCCCTGCACCATATGTGAGAAGCCAAATCCAATCAGCGTGGTATTTGCCGTGATTAATGTGACCTCTGGTCTCATGCCAGGTGTGAATCTGTGAGCTTAGAGAATTATGAGCAACTGAATTATTCAACCAGCTCCTGGTACTGCAGAAAGAGTTCAAGAGCCACCTAACCTGTCTGACTCATTTTTCGTTCCTGACTAACATGGAAACCGGACAGGATTCACTTCAGCTTCAGAAACATGCGAGTCACCATCTGACGAATCTCTAGACGCTAGTAACACTTCACTCAGTTCTCATTTTCGCTCATACCCTACCAGTCAAGGTGTAAATGCAGTCCTTTTTAGCGCCAGAAGTTTAGTTATTAAGCTTCTGTCGTTCAAGTATGAGCTTGAGGTCAACAGACCTGCGTTGGCTTTTATCACCGAATCCTGGCTGGATGTGTGATGTGAACTCCTCCAGATCCAAATTCCAGTTTATTTAGGCGTGACACTGAGGAACAGCGGTGTACTTGTGGGCGTCGCCAATCATCTACACCCTATCCGCATCTCTGAGTTGGAGCATCCGGACCTTGAACTCTTGTGGCTAGAAATTTGTTTTTTAAGACTAGCAGTCTGTATTGGATAGGGTATTGCTGTATTCACGTAATTATCTGGCTATTATCATCGTTGGCGATTTCAATGTGGATTTTAGGCAGAAGTATCCTATTTCTGTATTGTACAATAGTGTCCTTAGTGTATCAGATATACTCAATCTGCATCAGATGGTTGGATCAGTTACCCGTCCAAACTCAGGTTCAGATTCTGAGGCATCCATTAAAGATCTAATCTGTTTTGGGGGGGTTTTTTGGTGATTGTACAGACGTGATAGATAACATATTTACAAATCTGGGTTTGGGTCACAGTGACCTCAACGGTGCATTTTTTTCATCTGTCCACTGCATCTGTATCTACCAAAATCAGACGTCAATTCGTTTAATATAATAAAGCTGATCAAACAGAACGTTTGGCTACCTTATGCAGTATTTCATGTGATACCTATTTCCCAGCGGGCACAAATGGTTGAATTAACGTTGACCAAACGTTTATCTCTAACGTTTAACTAACGTGGAATTATGATTGAATTTGAAATTTTTTAATGTTAAACGCTACCCTCTAAAATCAACAGTGGAAGCATAACATCTACTTCACGTAATATCGACTTTGATGCTATGTTTGAAAGCCTGCATTGAATGGATGTTGAATATTGGTTGTATTTGAAAGTTTTTATGACGTTGAATACAAAATGGCAGGGCACAACGGTAATTATACAACTTGTAATAAACATACACAAATCGCCATTGATGCAATGTTGTTACCATGTTAACAATTGACGTTTTATTGACATTTACTAATGATTGTATTTGAAAGTTTTTCTAACGGTGAATGCAAAACGTTGGCAAAACGGTAATGATATACAGCTTATAATAAACGTACACCAATTGACATTGATGCAACGTTGAAGTTCATGGGTGGAAAAAACGTTGAGGAGTAATCGTAATTGAAAGTTTTTCCGACGTTGAATGCTGTTTGATGAATCAACCCTGAAATCAAAATGTATAATTAACATAGTATATTGATGTTAAAACCATTTTGGAAAGTGACGTAATTAGAACAACTGTTGAATGATGGTTGCATGTGAATTTCTTCTTACGTGGAGTCCCTAACATTAGAAGGGCGTTTAATTTAAAGCACAACATCCAATCAGCGTTAATGCCATGTTGTCAAACGTACGTTGCAAAATGAATACGAGTTTATGATTTGAATCCTTACCGATGAGTGAACACGACACATGGTGACAGGTTTAATACATGTATAAAATCAACACACATTGCTATACATTGGGTCGTACGAATAAAAAGTGGCATTTGCTTTTACTTCCATTTTTGAAGCATTTACCCGTGTTTGTATGATTAATAATGAAACAAACGCTTTTACTTCAGTGCAATGGCCAAAAAGTAAAAGTATTTACATTTTACTCTTTAAGCTTGTGCTTTACCATAAGTAGTTGCTTCATTTTGTATGAATCAAAATGAGTAAGTTTTACATAATTGGAGTATTTACTTGACATTTTTCAAGACTGGGTCAGGGCAAGCTTGAAAACAAAGAGCATTTACTGATGTTTAAATGGCAGCGTTCATGAATGTCATTCGAAAGGAAGAGCTGTATGCCTTTAGGAGGGAATCTTAAGAAACCAGATGCAAGCAGTTGTACCGATTTGAGAGTGGCAGAGTAATTTCCCTCATCAAGGTTTTTGCGATCAATGAGGTCTCAAGATACGGTACCGTGCTGCACAGTGTGTGTCTGTAATATACTTCCCCAATTATGTAAAGTACTTACCTGCAATGTAATTAGAATTATATGAGACAATGGAGGAGAGACTCACCCTGTGTATTCGTTCGTTGTGTTGCAGTCTGACCACCATTTGAAGCTAATAGATAAGTCCTCATTAGGTATTCAAAGTTCGAAGAATGCCACCCTATTCAAAGGCTTTCCACGTGCACCCCTCATTTCAGTGCTGGGTTGTCTTTTTGAAACTTGATGAGCAATGTTGGCTGGTGGCGTTGACCTACGGCCCACTTTGTAAGGCATATTGCCTGTAGAAGTACAGTACACACACAAAGTGAAAAAGGGGAGGGAGAATGAGTCTCTCCTCCATTGTCTCATAATTCCATTTTTTTTGCAGGTAAGTGCTTTACGTAATTGGGGAATTATATTTCGCCACTTCCAGAGAGACTCACCCTGTATACTTCAAAGCTGGCCGTTAATGTGCCGACGCCAGAACTGCTTGGCCAAACTCATGGTTGCGATAAGCTTCTGCGGTATAAGTTGGCAAAAGTAGTCACAGATGACCAGTCTGCCGTTTTTATGATGTCTTGAGCTGTCACTCTTGCAGCTGCTGAGGTGGGTCCACCCCTGGTTGAATGAGCTTTGAAACATGAAGTAGGCCTATCAATGCCTTCCTCTTTGAGAACAGATTAGAGACAGAAAACATAATCAGAGGACCTAGCCATATGATTTACATCAATTGCTGTGAGTAACTAACACCAAGCCGTAAAAAGTGCAATAAGCATAACTAATAGTGAGTTAACTGTCTGATCGATAACCGATGATTGTCAGGTAAAGACTCGAAATAATTCAACACAGTTTCCAAATTACATGTGAAATTATACCGTGGCTGTGGAGGACACAAATTTAAGACACCCTAGAAGAAGCGTTCAACTATAGATGATGTTGTCCAGTTGGGGCTCCGTCTAGAAAAACGTGCTGAGGAAATTGCTGATCTGTATACATTGAGAGTTCTGTAATTGCAACCCTGAATCTAACAAATGTTGAAGAAAGGATAAACATACCGCCACAAGGGCTCGAACAGTATCAGCTTGCCTCCAAAGACACCAACAGGCCCATCGATTCCAAGCTGAATCATAGGGCCTACTGTTTTTTGGACTGCTTCCTGTAAGATGACATAACTGCGAAATGTCCTCTGAAGAGAGATTTTCCCTGATAGCTTCCATGCGACTAAGAACATTGATTCGCAAGACTGGGGTGATAAGTAAAATTGTGGCCTTCTCGCTGATCTTATTCAAACACTTGGGTGAAAAGCAAAGGGAGGAAAAGCGTAACCCTCTATCTCCTTCCAGTTCAGTAATAGAACATCAATTATCCATGCCATGGAGTTGGGCTGCCGTGATACGACGGTCTCGAGTTGGTTATTGAGTCAAGTTGCAAACAGGTCGACGTCTGGGGAAAAACTTTACTGCGAATTCAGCGAAATATTAGTGTGTTTAGTTTCATTTCTGCCCGGTCGTTGAAAACACGGGGATTGTCCGCTGTGATATACATTGAGCCTGGTAAGTGTTCTGCCGTCAGAATGAAACCGTTCCGGAGACACCGTAACCAAATCTTGAGTGCCAGTTGAGCAAGATTCATTGAGCGCGTTCCACCCTTGTGGTTGATGTAAGAGATGGCCTTGGAGTTGTCCATCTGAAGTCGCACATGCAAATCTCGACGCTCCCTCAACAGCGTTCTGAGCGCATGGAAGACCGCCAACAGCTCGAGATAATTGATGTGGTTGGTCTTTTCTTGACATGTCCAGCGAGCCCCGGCTCGTTGATGGTCGAGGCAGGCTCCCCATCCGTTCAAAGATGCATCTGTCTGAATAGTCAGATCTGGAGTCTGCTGAACGATCGCCCGGCCGTTCCATACTTTCAGGATTCAGACTGCGTCACAAAAAAACAGAAAGAAAACCCAACACTTGAACCAGGGGCACACGTACTAGCTTTTCTTCAACTTTGAATAGGGCGGCATTCTGAGAACTTTAAATACCTAATTAGGACCAATCCATTAGCTTCAAAGGATGGTCAGACTGCAATATTACGCACAAATATACCGGGTGAGTCTCTCCGGATGGGCGAGGAAAAAAAACGCCCTCTTTTGTTCCCCTCGGAGGGGATTATTCCGGCGGGAAGAAATACGTGTACTACCGATGTCTGTTTTATGTCCCGATATATATACGGTGAACAAAAAAAATTCTTCGCAGAATAAGGCATTTGGACGGGTAAAGTGAAATTGGGATATAAAAATAGGGTTCTGCACAGAAAAGAAGGTTTAAATTCTGCCTTTTCCTCCTACATGCTTAACGTTTCTATTCCTTGCTCTATGGTTTACACAGCAAAATAAGTTGCAACGCTATGTGTGGACATGAAACTGTTTAGAATGTTCTAAAAATGGCGGAGCCCAGTAGCTTTCACGAGGTGACACTTTTGCGCAGTGAAAGTCCTCGTTGTAAGGAGCTCACAATCAGCACAGGTTTGATATTTTGTTTGTTTGATAATTTGCATGAAAAGAATCAAAACAAGTGGATTGAACATTAGCCTGAGCACAAAAAGTACATTTTCCCTAAAGTAGCCTTCATGCATGACATGGCGTACATACCATGTCACTTGCGTCAACAACTGTTTCCATAAATTAATGGAAGCAAAAGCCTATGGAAAGTACCTAGACCCTACAGGTGCTATCAGCTGACAATGTCCAAATGTAAAAAAGGCAGTTTGTAGGGTCCAAGTCATTCAGACTAGCACTAGGCCTGCTTCTCTTCACGTTTACAACAAGGTCATCATTTTGGGAGTTCATTTCCACCACAACTTCCACAAGGATGCTTAGAGTAAAAAAATGTGTCAATGAAGGCTGCAAGCATATTTCGCAATTATTTGATGATGTCACAATACGGCTCTGATCCCCAGAGTTTCTTGACCTGTGGCTGAAATGGGGGCACTATAGCACAGGAACAGAGAAAAATGGGTAAAATAAAGTTAGATATTTTTCTCGGCAAATAACCATGACCGTCTGCCTGAAATTCATTAGGACCTTACTCCAGTTCAAATTGGGACAGTTCAGCTTTATCATATGATCAAATGTTATTGTCAATGGAAAGCATTTCCAAGTCACCGTCACTGTCCAACATACATGTACAACCTCTTTTAATTTAACAGCTACATGTACATGTAAGTGTGAGCAAGCACAGCGCTCGCTCACGTGGGCACATTCGCCGCAAAATAATGGAACAGTCATAATTATACATGTACATGTAATTGCAGAACCGCTGTGTGATGTCATCAAAATAGGCTTCTATAAATTGGATGCTCCCAACAACTTTTGTTTTCAGTTTGCCTGATACGAAGGAGGGCTTCAACTCATGCTTTGGACGTGAATAGCAATCTTTATTTAGTTTTTACATAATGTTTGAAATATAACTGAATTTCATGGAAAGTGAAATTGTGAATTAATTACATGTACCAATGTGATTGATTTTTAATAACTGATAATGTGTGCAGGTGCTTCACAAGGTGTGTTACAAGATGTGAACCTTCCAGACTGTGCTGGAGGCTATGCATACCGAGAGAGTGGTCGAGTTACATCAGTCAACCGTAACCGATTCATTTACTGGTAACTATCACAGTCTGCCTATCTGTTGTCTTGTACAAGTATGTACAGTGGAATCTATTTATAGCACTTTGAGAGTGATTACTGCAATGTAAAACTACGGCTGGCCATAAGTACAAAAATAAAAGAGTAATTCACAAAATGCCTCAAACCCCCAGCAGCCATCGCAGCCATCAAAATACCAGATAATCTAATACATGAACGACGTAATACAATCCTCATAGGATGAATATACATTTCAAATGAATTAGAGGTAAAATTGAAAACCAACCAAAAGGTCATTTTTCTGCAAACTTTTGTCACCCGTACAAGTTGTAGGCAAATGAAATAGCGTTATACACATTTTACACAGTGCACAATGCACCTGCACCATACATGTTTAACCATTAATCTGAATTGTTAAGAATACACATGGAGTTACCACATTTATTCACTGGCTATCAAAGCATGTACATGTCAAGTAAAACTGAAATTTTTCTTGCATGTGTAGTGTAGAAATAGTCGTCTTGCATTTACTGTAATTGGAAATTCATGAACACTTCTTTCCCCTGCGCCGAAGCAAACTTCTGGCAATGATTTGCATGCATATCAGGGTTGTTAAAAGTCATGATTTTTTAATCCTTTTAAAAATCAAATTTTTAAAATTACATTTTAAAAATAAAATCCATAAAAGAAAACTTTGTCCTTCATTTATCAAAATCAGATTATGTATTTAAATCAATTTTTAGAAGTTGATGTTATAAATTGCCCAGAAGTTCAAGACATGAAATACCATGAAGGACCCACAGCTGGGGTTAAGTTTATCATGGTATGTTGAACTGTTTATTTCTAATGCAAATGCAGAAGTTTGCCAAGTCCAGTTACAGTTCCTATATGCTGAAATACATACATGTACAAACTCTTGGTCTGAATTAACTGTTTATGCAAATTTCAATGATAAAACAAGCTGATAAAAGATCAATGTCTTTGCTTCTTCAATTGTGTTAAAACTCTTGTACTTGATAACACATGACATGCCTTATGTAACATTTTGAGATACTATAAGTATACATCTTTTTTGCATTCCAATTTCCTTGATATTTGGCAATACTGGTTTCCTTGGTACATGTATTTGGCAATATAAGCCATGAAAAAAGAACACAAACTTGATGGAAAATGATGAGAAAAGTTTGGCTCTCTTCTTTCTCTTACTGTTGACAATCATTCTCACTATACCAGCATATCTGCCAGGTCTTATACCTTTCAACCAGTGAAAATAATCTTAAAATTTGGCTGCATCAAAAATGTATGAGTACAATATGTTCATTTCGAACGTCATATTTGACAGAGTTTGATGACACTAGAGAATTTTGACAAAAATGCATGGCATTTGAGAATGCCGAAAACGCTGTCACATGTAGTGCTTGAAAATTCCATGCGTGATGTTCATTTTGCCGCGTATTTTGGAGATATCCCCGCTAAAATTACGTCGTCATGAATTGTATTTTATGTCTCTGACAGCATTTTTTTTTGAACGTCATTCAGTATGCCCGATTTTCTTTCAAGCAAACTTGGTCCAAAGAGAAAAATCATGGGAGTGTAGCCATTCTGTGGAGGGGCTCATGAATATTGAATGAAAAAGAGAGCGCACTATCTGGGTTGATGTCAAAGGTCAAACAGCCCACGATGCAGCAAAATGTTTCTCTAACGGCACTGTGAGATAATGACGGAAGCCACAAAATCGCCACGATCGGTATTTTGGACTTTCAACCCGCTCTCCCTTTCTTAAATTTCCATTTTTTTGTCACAAAATACCTAAGTTTACATAAGTGGGCGCCACTTTTTTGTGTTTCATGCTGCAAAAGTGTTTCCACAAATTTGAACAAAGTTCAACAATTTACCTGACTGTGCTGTTTTTATGATATAAATTGAATTGGCTAATTATTGGAGTTCTGTAGCCGTGTGATTTACTTCAGTCTACGGACAAATTGCCAGGTGTTGCCCATCTTCATTGAATGACCCATACCCCAAAGACTTTAAGGATTCTTTTACATAATTTTTTTGAATGATTTTTTTATCTTTTAAGCGATTCAATCATTTGATTTAAATTATTTGATATAAAACAAGTAATTTTGGTAAAAACACACTATTAAAGTCATCCGACATTCTGCAAAGTGCTGTTTTATTCTATTGACTAGTCCCTGAAGGTTTTTCCTACAAGTCTGGTATTGTTTGACATCTACTTCTTCCCTGTTTTTTTTTAGTTTCTCTTGAAGTGAAATCATATCACATCTTGTTTTTGACTGGACATCCTTTATAATTTAATGTAAAGCTTCAAGATTTGCACATGCACACATTGCGCAACTGCTTTGTCAGCTACATGTACCTTTTTAAAAAAATTTTGAACCTTTGAAATGCTTGTTCTCATGCCAGAATGGGTGGCCATTCCACTAGGGACAAGCATTCTCCATGTGATTGCTGCCTGAGAATGGTCTGTTAACGAAGTGCACTGTTCCCACATTCAGCGCAATGCATAAATGATCTGATGGAAAGTTGGTCTTCTAGGGGAAAGATATAATGCAACCTGAACAGTGTGGACTTTTGAGATGCTCCCCAAATGATAAACTTGGAAAGATTTGTCACATTCTCTGTCTTATGCTCGGGGAGTTGAGTAAAATGGACATATTATTAACCCTAACACTCCTCAATCCTTCACCTGTTGGAGGACTGAGGAGTGTTAGGGTTAAGGGAGGCAGCTTGGCCAATAGTCGCATGCATTGTCCTGAGCAGGTCTTCAATGCATGGTTAAGACTGGCCAAGCACATATTTATTCCCATTCATAAATACCTTTTTTTAGTCAAAGTGCCAAAAGAAGTCGACATATGATGGATTTCCAACAATTTTGTTTCCCGAACACTTCCGTCCATATATTCCTTGTGCAAGTTGTCCTAAAGAATCTCCTTATTTGGACTTGGTGCGTGTGGCGAGCTGCATGCACACAGACTCTTGGCCAATCAGAATTGATTAAAGTGTCTCATGTCCAGGTGGCAGTGTGTGATTTATGCAGTGGGCATCATCACTTCTCAGTGGACATCATCACATCTCAGTGGGCATTATTAAATGTTAATACATGGTCAAGCTGCATGTTGTTGAATAGGGAGACTGACTGAGGTATTTATGAATGCAAGTTTAAGTGTGAATTACTGTCACATTGTATCTGCATGTACAAGAATCAGCAAAGTACCAGTTATTAAAGCTATTAAAGTGAGCAAAAATCTTCTCCAACTGTCACTGTGAGAAGATACATGTTTTATGAGGTCTTATTTAGGTGACATTGAATGATCTTAAATCATTGCAGGCGGACATCCCGTGATGTCTTGGAACTTGCTGAGGTGTCACTGGATCACAACCTGACAGGGAACACAGTTAGTCTCCATCTCCAGGATGCACCAATCCTGCCGCGCATCACACTGCATGAGACTAACTCTCACATGATCATCCTCGTAGCAACTATAAACAGTGTTCACCGACTGGTGTTGCCCCACCCAAATCGCCTTCCCAGACATGTATGTGGTTGGTCTCTGATGTCCCTTTGTCTTCCTAAATCCAACTGTGCTTTTTCTCAGGATTGTTTCACCATTGTAGTGGAGTCTATCACTGGTTAACAGTCAAATCATGTCCAGTCACAAGTAATAGGTATGAACAACAACAATATGAAATGCTTGTGACATTCTCAAAACTATTGAACTGACTTGCAATATACTTGTGGGGTCATGATGGATTAAAACATTGTGTTGCAATAGGTGAATGGGTGTGCTATGCAGATCTGAAGTGCAAAGAATGTGATATGATTTATAGAACAACTGTTAAATTCAGTATTCATAAAACACTGCTCACTATGTGCACCATGTAGGCTGCCCACTGTGGTTACAGTAAAAAGTTTGTCCAAGTTTAAATTACATGTAGGACCAATTAACTTTCCCTTTTTCACCTTTTTACTCTTTTTCTTTCCAGGATGTCTACTCCCGCAATTCATCGCTGCCATCCATCTTTGCAGATGTCTCCATTGCTAGCATCCGTGATGCTGCCAACTTCCATGTGATTGGTCAGGGAGGTTCTGCAGCTTATGAGTTTCAGACCAGTTCATCCTGGTTGACCAATGATGGGGAAGTAATGTTTGCCCTGGCTACCAATACAGGGAGTGTGGTGCTGGTGAAACTGCCTCCCATTGGGATACAAGGTACACGTTGTTCAGGATGACTTAGATGTTATGATTAAGGGTTTAGATGGAAATAGCTCTGGTTTATTGAGTAGCTTGTAAACTTCTTTGGGGCAGAAACAACCCCAAATTAATGTTTCAGATTGTTTTAGGTATTTTAGAACATTGCTGAATAGCTAATAAGAGGGTAAACCTGCTCAAAAGAGTACTTGACAACTTTCACTGAAAAGAAAATGGAACACAAAGGTACTTGTTGGATCTTGTAGGGTCTTATAAGATTGGCAGTGCTGGGTCAGTTATTTTGTTTCTCATAAATCCTTGACTGTAGGTATTGTCACCCAGCATGAGTTAAAACAAGCCACTGTGATGCAGCGACTGTGGACTGGTCTGGTACCTGCTGCAATGAGGTGAAGTCAACATTATGCTTAGTAAAAGTCTTAATGCCTTGAATACTGAAACAACACCTGCAAAAATCA